GTGTGAGGCGGTGTCGTTCACGCTAGAGCTGACGGAAAAATGAAACCTCCCCGAAAGGCACCGTGCGTAAGGGGAGTCGTGCCGGTCCTCCGGGGAAGCGATTCAGCTGGCAGAACTAACAAAAAGGAAACAATTTGACTCAGAGCTCTTTTCTCTTTTTTTTCCCCTTCCTTTCTTCTCCCCGCTGCCTTTAGACCACCCAGAGATACAGGAAGAAATCTACAGGAAGGACGATAGGCTCCTCACCTTGTTGAAAGATGTTTATGTTGAGTCCAGAGATCCACCTGTGCGGGTGAGCATGTCTCTCTGTAGGAGGCATAGCAGCATCAGCTTTGTGGTTTTCAAACTCAGCACAAATTCTGCATAAAGAAAAATGCTCTGTTAGTGCCTAAAAGCTACCTTTTTATAGATAAAAGTGATGTTTTCATTACTCTCTTATACATCTGTAGCACTGATTGTGTTTGACCCTGGGTCTTGAACATGGGACAGATTGTGATTACACAACCTCTTAAATGCTTATGCAGTCTTCCTTTTTAACATCACGTTGATCTTACTTTGTTTTTCACCTAAATTCCCACTGCTGCTTCCTCTAAGACAGGACAGTTAGCCAGCCTTCTGCAAAGATGCAGGAGTTTGCCAGAGATCTCTCGTAGAGTTGTTAGAAGAAAAGAGATTGGGACTACTATGGAGCATGGATATGGTAGAGGACAAAGACATTAACATTTTAGTGGAGTCTTAAACTACTGATGTTAATGTCGTACTGTGCAGAGACTTTTCCTTATGCGGCTGAGGAAGTGCCTTAGTTAGGGTTTTTTTTCTGCATAACCTTCTGGATTGTTTGGTGATCAGTTTCCTCATTGCCAGCGGCTGCAGTCTTTGACTTGGAAAGCAAAGCATACCCTTTCCAGTAAAATACAGACTGCTGTTCAGTCTCCTCTTTTCCACCATGTTACATTATGGCTTGTGCGTTTTACCTGTTGCATTATTGGACCACTTTATTCTATCTGCTTTATTCAGTAATAGAAGTTTTATAGTCATCTAGCAATAAAATGCCTACGTCTCTCCAAGTTGCCGCTTTCATTGTACCTTGTATTCAAGACTAATAGTATTTAAAAATGCAAACGGATTTCTGCAGTCTCTCCCTGAAGTTCCCAAGTAATCTCTGTCCTTAATTTTCATAATAGAGGTTAGGACTCTAATCTTGAAGTGCTGAAGGTCTGATTTCATTATCTTTCAATATTCATTTGTAAGCCTGTCAAGAGAAATTTTAGAAAAAGCCAAAAATGGAGCAAATCTTAGTGCTTCATTCTATGCCTACTCTGAGGTTGCTGCCATGTAAGACTTGCTCTTGTGGTGTGTCTACTTGCCGTTGTTAGGAAGTGCATGATTAACGTGTTAGCACGGAGGCTTGTGGGCAAAATTTCATCCAAAAGCTTCCTTCCTTTCCTGATGTTATTCTGAATACTTTGTGCATTGTGTATGTATACATAACTATACGTATATTTGGTATGTCTGTCTGTGGTAAGTGGAAAAGCACCAACTCTAAGTCCTAAAGTGGCAGTCCACTCAGAGACAGATCATTTTATTAAGACTTGAAAAATTGTTCATTATCTGAGCACAGTTTTAGCACAAATTAAAAGGAAGAAATGGAGAACTGGTAGCATCATCAGACATTCTCTGTAGTTCAGAAACAGACACGCAGTTACAGATGCTGTAGCACCCACATCAGTTTTCTCATCTTGTGAGTTAATACAGAGTGTCTGTGCATTAATTAGTGGCTGTGGACTCTGATAACTTTAAAAGTACTTTTTCATAAATTTAAGAAAGGTTTTCATTGTTTCTTTTTTGCAGTGTCGTTCACTGGTTAAAGTTTAATAAAAGGCGATAGGGGGAAGGCAGAGCTGGTTTGGAAATGTCTTGGAAATATAAAGGGACTTGGGACAAGAGACTTCACGTGTCTGAGCACTGCAGTAGTCATGGGAATTAAACTCCATATGATGCTGCAAAATAGTTTCTTTTTGTCCAGCAAAGCTTGTTATCTAGACAGAGCAAAAGAAGGGATATCTTTTAGTTGCAATACTAAAATTGGAAAATTAAAGGAAGGGGGAGAGAGACTATATGAAAAAGATTTCCAGTGGTATCAGAAGGATACCAATTTGCAGTATGATTATTTTTTTTTTCCCCCTTGCCATGAATCAGTACCAAATATTAGGGCTACCAAAATCTGTAGTTTGCCTTGTATGAGGGGCTGCCAAGTCTGTACAACACGTAGAGTTCAATGGATGGTAGCTTTTCAGAATTTGGGTGGGGGTTGACATTGTACGTAGAATGGTTGTGGAAGAACTGACAATTTTTGTGATATCAAGAAGCAAGGCTGCTAAGCGTTATTTTTTTTTAAATGCTGTGAAAATGGGGAAAGCTAACAGGAAATGCCATATTTAGGAAAACACTTGGCTGCTACAGTATGCATAGTAAACAGAACTGCTGTTAAGCTCTTTTTGTTTTCCTTCCCACAATTAGGTAAAAGATGGAGGTGGTGAACATCTTCCATGTAAACAGGAGGAAAAGAGACTTACAAAACTAGGCCACTTGGGAGATCTAGATGTTAAGAAAGTTCCCAAAGGCAAAATTTCCATTGTGGAGGCTCTGACGCTTCTTAATAATCATAAACTTCATCCTCAAATATGGACTGCAGAGAAAATAGCAGTGGAATACAGTCTGGAACTGAAGGAGGTCAACTCTCTTCTGGAATTCTTCATTCCTTTCGCTGTGCAGGAATTTCCTAAAGAAACCAAAAAAGCCATAAAGCCAACATAAAAATAATTACCAAAACCTTGTGTGATCGCTCTCGTGTCTTAATTTTACTCTTGAGTATATTCAGTGTCTGAAAAGAGTTGGTAAGGTGTCATCCAACGAGGCTGCCTCCTTATACCAGTAAGATGTATTCAAGCAATTCCATTCAATATTGGATGGCTTCAGTTAAATGCAGTAATTATAGGATACAGTTTTAAAATCAGAATATAACTAATGAGTTGTATGAGAGCATGTCGCACGATTCTGATTATCCCATTCACACGTTACGAGTTCAGTTAAAACACGCAAGTTCTAGTGAGAACCTTACTTTAACAGATAGCCTTTCTTAGCAGAGACTTCCTGGCCTTCAGCTAAATCAGTGTTTTGTGTGCTCTGTAGTTTCATGTTACAGTGTTCTTTCAAGGACTTGCTGTCAAGGTGTGTGTATATACAAACAGCTGTATTTCTTTTGTATAAGAATGGAACACTATTTATACTTTGTAAAAAAGGTTAACCACAAGATCCTTTGGGAAATTCAGCTGTGTCAAACTTAAAATAAAAAGAAGGTGAATAGCAAGAAGGCCTCTTTCTGATGCTGGGACAGTAATGGCTAATGTGTAGCTCCTCTTCCACTCTATTCTGATTTAGCTTAAATATCTGCACGTCCCCAGGTGATGTCTGTCAGTCAGTGAATTTGTAAAGAGTGATGATCTTCTAGCATCAGTCTCTTGCAGCAGTCTATGGCACCTACTGTATGAGAAATAATGGTTCATATTATAATTAATAGGTAGCTATGAAATGCAACTGGATCTACTAATTGGACCCACTAGTCGGACTTCTGTAAATGTCTGCCTGTCCTGTACAATAGCCCTTTTTTCCCCATGGAGGCCTTGTCTGACATACCCAAATGTGGGCTAGATCAGGTCATGTTCACTGACAGTAAGTTACCAATGTGCTGTTGGGATTGAAGATGAACAGCATCCTTTCCAATTGTTAGTAGAGGGCGACACAAACTGTGAGGCAGTAACAGTGGATTGTAACCTTGATACTGTGACTGTTCAGGTCTGTGTAGGTAAGGAAGAAGTTTTGCACTGATGATTAATACTCTAGTGAAAACTTGTTCATGTTTTCCAGATAAGCTGGCAGGGGGGATAATCAGCATTGATATTTAAAAATGCATTATAGTTGCCTTCATTCAAAAGAAAAAAAATCCCAAAATTTAATTTTATGCAGCGCTAACGTTCCTAGTGCCCATCACCAAAGAAGCTGCATTTATTAAGAGTGTGGAAGTCAGCACCAGGCCTACAATGTAACTTTCTTTTTAAGAACTTTTCTGCCAGGTCTAAGATTTGAGACTCTAGTAAATACCTTACCAAGAAGATGATCAGCTTTGCTATTTCACAGCAAGATTCTTTCCACTTCTCTCTCTGAGATGGAAGAAGGTATTTATGGTACAGTTTGCTACAGTGTATACAAGGTTTTGCTTGATTCATTTCTGAAGTACATAACGCTGTATCTTAGTGGAAGATGACACCTAAGTGCATTGTATAAAAACTCGAAATTGTTAGTCTTTTGCTGTGTGGATTGGGGATAGGCTTGTCATTCTTCCTGTATTGTAATGGGGTCGGAGCTGCACTCTGGAACTAATGCATCTGAGTTACGTACCACATTAAGATTTTTTTGTTTTCCACAAAATACTCTGTTTTATAGAATGTTGCAACAGAAATACTTTATTGTTTGAGTACTGTTCATACTAATGTAATATTTAAGGTGATATTCAGAAAACAGCTGTGGAATGCATTTGGTACAGATACTGTTGATATTATTATTGGAGACGCTGTGATTTCCTTCTTTAAAAATGGATCTTTAATTAGGTATTGGAGTTGATTAAAAACTCCCTGCAATCAGCACCAGACAACAGCTTAACCATGCCCATTGACTAACTTGGTATGTATTTTGGCTTCTTTTGTCTGCCTTTGTGAACTGTCTTGTGATGTGGCTACACCATTACAGTACCCTGTTTCATGTAGAAAGTCCCTAGAGGCATTATGGTATACTATTGCTTTGCTTACACTCTTCAGCAGGCATGTGGTTTGGGATGTTCGGTGCTCATCGTGTTCAACGCTCCAGCCATACCTTCAGGACAAAATCCTGTCCACAAATGAGATGATTGCAAAGCTATCCCTGGTTTCTCTGGAGCCAGGATCTTGTCCTCAGAATATATTGTCTATGGTGGGGAAGCAGGCAGATCCCACAACACAGAGGTGGGCCAGGGATCCATCTCCCTGGAAGCAGGTGAACTCCCGGTGGCCCAGAAGGCTCCTCTGGAGCAGGGAACTTCCCCAGCCCAGCGGGTTCACTTCAGCAAAATTAGGCGCAATGCAGTTTGCTGTCGGCACACAGATTCTTCTGCTGGTCACCTGCCCCACCTGCTGGGCAATGTCAAACCAGCATTATGAAGGCATTGCTGATGGTATGGGATCATGTGAAATCTGTACCTTTATCTATCCAAATTATGCATAGTCTGAATGTTTAGCTTTCCCTGGCCCTTCAGACATGGAGTGTTTTACTTGCCCAAAGCTCACAAGAAGATCCAGGAGCATGGATCTTTTCTCTTTGCTCTGGTGGGAAAGCCCGTCCCTGATCAAGCACTCTCAACACTATCATCTTGTCCTGTGTAGGCTACCGGCCACAGCCAACCGCAAGGTCCTTGGCAGGTCTGTGCTTAAGCTGTGTTCAAGTGAGTACGTGTTTGAAAATAACGGGGTCTTTAGGGTTGATGTCTGGGAGAAGACTATTCTCACTACTGCATCTTTTCTCGAACTGCTTATCTCCTTTCTTCCAGTTTCAAGGGACTCCTTACTCACCAGGTATCTTGCCTGCTTGCCAGTTTCTGGTTTTGATGCAATTTCTTATCAGAAGAATAATGGTATTTTCTTCACACTTTTAACTTGGTTTTGTCTGTGTCCCTTTCTGTCTATATCCTTTTCCCATAGGTGTTTGGCTGTCAGCTTAAGGAAAAGGTACTCTTCAAGCAACTGTTTTGAAGAAGCAATTATGGGGAAATTGTGGGAACCTGCAATTCAGTTTTCTGGTATTCATATGTGGAGAATTTTTCATGTTTCATTGCCATGTATGCAGTGCACCAAATTTAGCTTAGATGTTTTTGGCCACCATATAGAATCATTACATTTGGTAGGGAACAACCTGCCTCGCTCAAACTGCTTTGTTCTTGCCGGATTAATGTAAAATGTGTAGCAAGGATAAGCTTTGTGAGCCTGTAAGGGAGTTGTTTCATTTCTAGTGTAAATGACATGCGGTTAACAAACTTCTTTATATGTGGCCTTATTACACCAGTTTCCCAAATGTCACTGAATAAAGCCAGGGCCGCCTTGGGCACTGAGGCAGAGCGAGTACACAGGGCAGGCTGAGCTCATTTGGAAATGAGAGTTACATTCCCGGTGAGACATAAAATTGAGTTCCTTCAGGGGAGTTCCGGCAGGTATATTGGAATTCCTGGCTTGAAAAAATGGCTCTTTAGGGGAAGTCTAGTAGCTCACTTACCCACATTTTCTGGGACATAGTCCCATTCGTCTAGCCTTGTTCTATCATTAAGTCTATTCCCAGCCTTCTCCAGCCAGTCTTCTCTTCTATGAAAACTTTCTGCAGTTGCACTCTTGCTCTTTACTAGCTCAGATGCGAATGTTTGTTGTATTTTGCCCTTTCAGTATCAACAACCTGTTTTATTTCTGCAGAGCTCTCTTGCCTTCTAGGAGCAGCATATCAGCTGAGGTAAAGATGAGAGGACTGAGCACATGTTTTGCTGTACAGAACTTAAGAATAGGACAGATTTTCAAAAGGGATGTAGCTTTTCATACATCTTCAAAAGCTGCTCTTTTGGGGTATGTGAAACTAAGTAATCTTGTGCTGTCTCACCATGTATTAATCGTAGCTAGGTTCTTGCAGTCTGATTCCAAGACAGCAAGATTGGAGCTGTGAGGCTGGAAGGAGTTTTAACTCTGCTTTCTGTGCAGGTTAGTCAGAGGGAATTTCAGTACAAAAAGTGATCTTTCTGGAGCCCTCCAGCACAGGGAACTTGTCTTTTAAGCTACCTCTTTTAACTCAAGGAGAAAAGAAAATGATGTTTAGATGTGAGAGGTGTGTACTAAACTTACAAAATGGAATATCTTATTTCTGTATTGAAATAATGGAGTCAAACCTCAAGTAATCATAAAACAGGATCAAAATGCAAAAGTTTAAAAAGGTGGCTGTCTCGCCTTGTTTCGTGTGAGCATTGTGCTTTCACGTTTGAGATTGCATGAAGCTTCACATTTCATGGCTCTGTTGTGGAGCCCCTTCCTAAAGAGGAGTTTTCTCGTTCTTAATCAGGTGGTGCCAGTGTTGAACTGACAGCAGGGGAGGCCTGACTGGTGCAGGTGAGCTTCAGGTGCAAACGGATTTTGGCACTTTTGAGACTGCAGCAGACAACTGATGTGCTATTAGCAGTCAAAACACTGTGTCGGTGCCTGTTGTTATTAAATCTGTTTCCAGCAATCTGCAAGTCTAATAAATTCTGTAACCTTTCATGGTGTAGGTACTGCTGTGTTGTTATCAGAGCTAAGTGTTTTCTGCTGAAAAAATCCCCCAAAAACATGGATTAATTTCTCTTAGAAACTTAACATTAGTTTTCTTGGTCTGAAACAGAGGCTTAGATTTACACAAGGTGACAGCAGCGTTCAGTAACAGCAGCACATCTCCTGTAGCGTGCTGGAGGGAGCGCACTGCAGCAGCTCCTGCAGCTCTGTGGGGTGGAGCGGGGTTTGATGTGTTTGCTGCGAGAAAGAGAATTTAAAAAATAAATCTGCCAAGGTGGTTCTTCTATGACTGTTGTGCAAAATCCCCTGTGGGTGTGGGTTACTTCAATTGTTGAAGCTCTGTCTTTAGGTGAGGTGTTTTGGCCTCCTGACGGGAGTAGTGCTGCTGTATGACCCAGGAGGGAAGCAACTGGGGGCAGGGTAGACCCTATAATCATCTCCTATAAGGATTCCTTGCACGGGAATAGAAAACACGTGGTGTCTTCTAGGACTTTTTAGAAAGCTGAGGGAGGTGATGTTGTGGCGGGAGGAATCCCTCCCTTTGAAACAGTCCCCCAGCGGCAGCCACATCTGTGAGCTGGGTTCACCTGGGGAATAAGGGATCCCACTGCTGATGAGTTGCAAATGGTGCTGGTGAAAGCTGGATTCGCTCCTGCCAGGGGCTGCTGTAACTGGAAGCCTGAATGTAACG